AGTATAGAAGAGAGGAGAGGAAAGACAGAAAGAGAATAAGGACTACAGAAACAGAAAACTGGTGAAAAACAAACATGTGGGAAATCGCAGAGGGAGATAAGGGAGGAATTACATGAAACGGAAGCAAGTATTAGAGACCACTAAACGAAACTGAAGAAAAGGAGAAAGATGGGGGTTATTTGAGACGTTAACACAAGAAACAGAGCTTTTCATCAGGGAGGCACTTGCAGAAGAGTCAAAATCAGGACTGAGTTCTTTTATCTTCTAGTCCTCCAAACACTGCAAAATAAACTTACAACCTTGTGTTTGAACGTGTAGAGTGACTTCATGCCCAGGCAGCCCCATCTATTTATTGTTATTAAATAGCTTCAGAAGATCTGTGTTTGGTGCTGATTGCATGGACAGAGTGATGCACTGCTGGAATCTCTAACATCCATCCATCTTCCTCCGCTTTATCAGGGGCCGGGTCGAGGGGGCAGCAGCCTAAGCAGAGGATCCCAGACCTCCCTCTTCCCAGCCACCTCCTCTATCTTATCCGGGGGAACACCAAAGCGTTCCCAGGCCAACCGAGAGATATAATCGCTCCAGTGTGTCCTGGGTCTGCCCCCCCCCCACCCGGTGGGACATGCCCAGAACACCTCACCCAAGAAGCGCCCAGGAGACATCCTTGTCAGATGTCCAAACCACCTCAGCTGGCTCCTTTCGATGTGGAGGAGCAGCGGCTCTACCCTGAGCCCCTCCCGGATGGCTGAACTTCTCACCCTATCGCTAAGGGAGAGGCCAGCCACCCTTCGGAAGAAGTTAATTTCCGCCGCTTGTATCGGCGATCTCGTTCTTTCGGTCACTACCCACAGCTTGTGGCCATAGGTGAGGGTAGGGACGTAGATCGACCTGTAAATTGAGAGCTTTGGACCGGTGCAGCGTCTGCATCACTGCGGCCGGAGCACCAATCCATCTATCAATCTCCAGCTCCCTTTCACCATCACTCGCAAACAAGACCCCAAGATACTTGAACTCCTCCACTTGGGGCAGGAACTCATCCCTGACCCGGAGTGGGGACTCTACCCGTTTCCGGCTGAGAACCATGGCCTCAGATTTGGAGGTGCTTATTCTCATTCCCGCTGCTTCACACTTGGCTGCGAACCGTTCCAGTGCGAGCTGGAGGCCATCACCCGATGAAGCCAAGAGAACCACATCATCTGCGAAAAGCAGAGACGAGATTCTGAGGCCAAGTGAAAGGCCTCCGCCACTTGGCTGCGCCTAGAAATCCTGTCCATAAAAATTATGAACAGAATCGGTGACAAAGGGCAGCCCTGGCAGAGCCCATCACCCACCGGGAATGAGTCCGACTTATTGCCGGCAATGCGAACCAAGCTCTTGCAACGGTTGTATAGGGATCGAATGGCCCATAGCAGGCAGGCACCCCATACTCCAGCAGCACCTCCCATAGGACACCACAAGGGACACGGTTGAATGCCTTCTCCAAGTCCACAAAACACATGTGGACTGATTGGGCAAACTCCCATGCGCCCTCTAGTATCCTTGAGAGGATAAAGAGCTGGTCCAGTGTTCTGCGACCAGGGCGAAAACAGCAGTGTTCCTCGTGTATCCGAGGTTCGACTAGCGGACGAACTCTCCTTTCCAGTTGTTGGAACACACCCTCCGGTCCCCCTTCTTAAAGATGGGGACCACCACCCCAGTCTGCCAGTCCAGGGGTACTGCTCCGGATCGCCACGCAACATTGTAGGGACAGCCCTACAACGTTCAGAGCCTTCAGGAACTCGGGGCGGACCTCATCCACACCAGGGGCTCTGCCACCAAGGAGTTGTTTAACTGCCTCAGTGACCTCACCCCCAGAAATTGGCAGGTCATCCCCCTCATCCCCAGACTCTGCTTCCTCCTCGGAAGACATGTCAGTGAGATTAAGGAGGTCCTCGAAGTATTCCTTACACCGCCCGACAATTTTCTCAGTCGAAGTCAGCAGCACTCCGCCAGCACTATACACAGGTGGAGCACCGCTTTCCCCTCCTGAGACGCCTGACGGTTTGCCAGAATGTCTTCGAGGCAGTCCAAAAGCCTTTTTCCATGGCCTCTCCGAACTCCTCCCACACCTGAGTTTTTGCTTCAGCCACTGCCCGAGCCGCATTCCGCTTGGCCTGTCGGTACCTGTCAGCTGCCTCCGGAGTCCCACAGGCTAACCAAGCCCGATAGGACTCCTTCTTCAGCCTGGTGTCGCCTCTCACCTCTGGTGTCCACCATTTGGTTCGGGGATTACCACCACGACAGGCACCAACCACCTTGCGGCCGCCGCTCAATGCAGCAGCTTCGGCAATGGAGATGCTGAATATGGTCCATTCAGACTCAATGTCCCCAGTCTCCCTCGGAATGCTGTTGAAGCTCTGCCAGAGGTGTGCATTGAAGATCTCGCGGACTGGGGCCTCTGCTAGGCGTTCCCAGCACACCCTCACTACACGTTTAGGTGCACCGGGTCTGTCCAGCGTCCTCCCCCGCCACCTGATCCAACTCACCACCAGGTGGTGATCAGTTGACAGCTCAGCCCCTCTCTTTACCCCAGTGTCCAGAACATATGGTCACAGGTCTGGTGATACGATTACAAAATCAATCATCGACCTGCGGCCTAGAGCTTCCTGGTGCCACGTGCACTTAGGGACACTCTTATGTTCGAACAAGGTGTTCGAACAAACTGTGATTTGCACAGAAGTCCAATAACAAAACACAGCTCGGGTTCAGATCAGGGAGGCCATTCCACAGAAAATGCCCCTCATCAGCTGTTCAGATTGCAAAAGTAGATAGACAAATAACCAGGACTCTCCTGTTCTGCAGCTTTTAATAATTACTGTTACTATCATTGTGTTTGCTTATATTAGTTTTCACATTCTGAAATCAGATCTAGGATTTACATTGTGTTAAGTCCTGTTCAAAAATGATCCAAACAGTTAACAGTGGGCAGTTAAATGATGGGATCATGTAGCATCTTTATACAACAATATCTAAAAGTAAATCATTGTTTTTTCCCATTATTTCCCTGAGGAACTCTTATGATTCTAGTTGCAAAAACATCAGATGTAGGGGCTTACATGAGACATACCGGTTATTCAAAAAAAAACAAAAAACTATTTTGATATTCAGAAGATGGGGCCTGCTTTTTGGAAGGTTAGTAGACCTCAGATGTTTAATATAGGTTACAGCTGCTGTAGCTGGCTGACTGGGAAAAAGAACAGCAACAACTCATACCTCTAATACCACTTGGCCATATAGGGGGAGGTAGACCACTGAATTTTATGTTAGCAATAAAGACTCATATAGGAAAGTTAGACGCTCTTTGAGATATCCCAAAGATTTAGTCCTGTTAAGAGTCCCCTCCACAGCACTGACAATAAGGTGCATGTATGAATACACTCGGTGGCAGTTCTGAATGCATTCTGAACTCAGACTGATGTGTCTCTGTGTTTAGTTGGAGTTTATATAGCACTGGTATATGTTTTCTGTAATATTTATGTATGTAACAGCTGAGTTCTGCCATCTAGTGGCTGGGTTATGTACATGCATACATGAATTTTGAATCCTGAATCCAAACTGGAAGCTGGTTCCATAGAAGATGGGCCTGAAAACTGAAGGCTCTGCCTCCCATTCTACTTTTAAATACTCTAGGAACAACAAGTAAGCCTGCAGTGTGAGAGCGAAGTGCTCTAATAGGGTGATATGGTACTACAAGGTCATTAAGATAAGATGGGGCCTGATTATTTAAGACCTTGTATGTGAGGAGCAGGATTTTGAATTCAATTCTGGATTTAACAGGAAGCCAATGAAGGGAAGCCAAAACAGGAGAAATATGCTCTCTCTTTCTAGTCCCTGTCAGGACTCTTGCTGCAACATTTTGGATTAACTGAAGGCTTTTAATTGAGTTTTTAGGACTTCCTGATAATAATGAATTACAGTAGTCCAGCCTAGACGTAATAAATGCATGAACTACTTTTTCAGCGTCACTCTGAAACAGGATATTTCTAATTTTAGAGATGTTGCACAAATGGAAGAAAGCAGTCTTACATATTTGTTTAATATGTGCATTGAAGGATATATCCTGGTCAAAACGGATTTCCCAGAAAAAGATTTCTGGATGTTTTTATGACAGAATTCTGCCTGTTTTAATGCTGCCTCAGGTGTCTGAAGATCACTGACATCCAATACTGATTTATCTAATTCTCTGAATTTTTTTTCTTTTTGTTTATTTTTGAAAATTGATGAACCTGTACCTGTACTACTAAGAAACTCTTTAAAAAAGGAAAAAAATAAACTCCTCTGAGATGCTATTTTTATACTGGTTATGTTAATGATCTGTTGTCTTATTTAGTGGCAAAATGTTCCTCCAGTTGTTTTTCAGTAGGTCTCCCAGCTTTGTTGACACATGCTGCTACCATCAGATTCAAAATGACCAAGTATTTTTTTTTAAATGAAATTATAAAATTCCTGCACTTAAACATTTGGTATCTTCTCTTGTCATTGTACTTCATTTTTACTTCCAATTTGCACAGCCTCTCAACCTTTTTTGGGAATTGAAATGACCATATTTATTTTCTTCTTTAATTTTTTAATTAGTTTAAAAAAACACTTTTCAAACATTTTTAAAAGTTATTATTAGTTATTTACTTGAAAAGAGACCCAAATCTGTCGTGTATCGATGTCAACACAATAATTGAATAATTGTCTGTCATTTTCTTACATATATCTTGAGTATTATTGTAATTAACATTTAAAAAAAAACCCCAAAAACATTTACTTTTTAATCCTCAAATGTCAAAGGGCAGAGAATGTGTGTGTCGGAAGTTTGTTGTCTAGTCTTTCTGAACCATTCAACCACAAGTGACGCTATCAGGCGCTTGTGGCTCCAGTCAGCATCACCCAATCACTAATCAGAATCTCTTCCCGTGCCCGCCTTCTCTTGATTGGCATTGGCTGACTCTGACAACTTAATGGCGCTATAGGCGGAGTCTGTAACTGAACGGTGAGCTCTCTCCAGCTGTTATTCTATAACCAACACCTGGGCAAGAGGAAAGGAGTGGAGAGAAGGTTGTCCCTCATTTGTTACGGTTATCTACAGGTGAGTGGGTCACGGTGCATTTGTGTAGCGTGTGTTTAACGGTATTCCGTGAATAAATTGTGAGTGTGCTTTTTAAAATCCACTGTACATGGAACAAAGGACGCAGTTATTTCTGTATGGACACGGTAGATTAAGTTTGCATTATGGGAAGTGGATCTTGCAAGACAGACAGACGTATGTACTGAACAATCATACTATCAACACATAATCCGGAAATTAAAGGTTTTGTTTACGTTATACAACGATGGGTTTCCCCCTCCCCCGTCAGATTTAGCTTTCTACAGGAAGCTGCTAAAAACAGCGTGTTTTTACTTGTTTGGACTATATACACGAAAGCCTTAACTGTTTTAAACTGAAGTTTTCCAGTTTTATTGTTATTGTAGCTTTAGTGCTGCAGAACGGTGTGCATTTGTGTTACTCATGTTTGTGGGGCGGTTCACAGGGTCACATTCTGGGGATCCGCCCCCTGTTTGTGCAGGTAATGCAAATTCCTGGAAAGTAAGTTTTAGTACTTACCTTTTTTAGCTTAGGATGGGTTACAGTTAAGTTTACTGTAAAGCAACAGTGCATGAATGCATGACACGGAGGAGACGTGACTGTGTCTGTGTGTGAAAGAGAGAAGCGAAAATGAAACAGATACAAAGAAGAATAAAAGATTTCATGCCGTCAGGTTTCCTGTTAAACGAGTTGGGTCTGTCTGTTATCGCACATCTCCAAGGATTTGCACTTTATTCCTCCAATTAGCACATTATCTGTTTAGAAACGTGCAGCCTGTGGAGTAAGCTGCATGATTAGATTTGCAGTGAGACTGTGACTCTGGAGGGTTTGTTCAGCAAGTACACACAAAAGAGTCAATATGTGAACTGGAAGGTAACATCTGTTTGGTTAATAACAGGCTGTTACTTACTGCTGGTACATTCAGTGAAAGTTACTGAGTATCTGACCGACTTACCGCAGTGGTGCACAAAGTGCAGCACATTTGTAGATAACAGATTGTAAACTAATAGCACAATTCTTCACCAGAGTTGAGTGGAGCAGTGACCATGGAGACCACCAGGAGACGACCGCAGCACAGTGCCAATGGGAAAAGATCTGAACAGAAGGAGCAGCTAGCACAGTGGGGGAGAGCGTGGTGAGTCGAATTCACTGAAAAAACACCCTAAATTTTCCTTGGCAGTTTTGACAAACTTCTCAGAAAGTCCTAAAAAAGTTGTTGAGAGTCTTTCCTGCAAACAATCTACTCGGACATTAAAAACATATAATCTTTGTTTATCATATAGTCAGAAATAATGTTAAAATGCATAGACGTGTTTGGCTTAAATATACACAGAGCAGTCTTGACACAGAGTTTAATTACTCCATGAAATGCATTTTTTAAGCCAGGAGAACACAGACCTTAAAAATGTCTTAAGCTCTAAAATTCAAAAACAAAAACGCTTCAATTAAACGGTGCTACTATTTCCTCACTCTCTACACATGCAATTGCATTTATTTATTTATCTGAAACAAGCTGCAGTCGAACCCTTATCTCACTATTATGATCATAATGTAAGCATGTCTACATTCATGTACAGGATGATGAAAGAGTCTTTAAATACCACTTGGTATTTTGGTTGGTTTTTAACTGACATCAGTAAGTGATTTCAAGTTTAGTCTTGAGTTTTAAGACCAAAGTGCTGTTGCATTTAACTTTTGATAACAAAGTAAAGTTTGAGGACCGCCAGAAAATTTCTACTGAGATTAAGACTATAAAAAAAACCCCCCAAAAAACTGAAATCTTCCACAAACTATAAATGGAAATACTGACACACCGCTTTTTCAGCAACATCCTGGAACAATTTGTTAAACAAGTCCATGAAATTCAGAACACAATCTTCAGACTTATCTGGGTCATTGGGATATGGCATCATAAACGGTTTGATCAACACATCATATATTCATGGCACACAAATGAGCCTTGGTACAAAGCTGGGAGAAGACACACAGATATGTAAACAGAGAGTAATGCACCAGGGGGAAGTGGTTAGATTAAAAATTAATCAGAATGTATGTCTGAGGCTAATGAGACTGTCGTTACTTTGACAAGTGTTTGATCATAAACACATTATTGTCACAAACTGGAGCTGATGATGACTTTAGATGAAATATTAAGCTGTTAATTACTATGTATAACCCAAAATAAATGTCAGTCTATCCTATGATTTTTTTGATTTATTTCCCTGAAAACACAAGGAGAGCAGCACTCATTACAGTTCACGTTCACCTGCTGCAAATATGTCGTCAGGTATGCTGGCACGGAACATTTTGTTGTTTCCCAGTTTAACAACCAGGCTGGTCTGCGAGTCTCTGCAGTCATCTCTGTGGTACATCAGTGCAGAATCGATCCATCAATTTATTTAGAGACAATAACTGCAGCTTTAGGATTTGTCACCTGGAGACCATAAATATCTACAATAAGACCAGTCAAATGATATTTACCTGCTGGTGATGAAGGATGAGCTGCTAAGGAGCAAAAGTGATCACCTGGGCAAGCGAAGGTCAGTGTAAAATTTCGAGCCAGTCCGTTAAACAGTTTTTGATCGATTTCAGACTGACAGTCGGTCATTACCGAAGCCACAGAGCTGACATGGCTAAGATGGTTTCCCTTGCAGAAATGATGCTTGACTAAGAAATGAAAGTTTAATGATAATCCACAAAAAAAAACTGCATAATTCCCTTTTTTGTTGAATCATGTGATGTTTGGTAGAAGTTGTACTCTTCACATGTGTAATGCAAGAGAATAAAAAACAGCTGCATTCCATTTTGGTGCTCTTTTGTTCTAGTTTCCTGTTATTGTGCAAACCAGCTTCATGGAACCAAGTCATGAAGCACGTCCCCCGCGAGCCTGCAAAGGATAACCGGAAGAGAATGGATAGATGGATTTATTTTGTTGTAATTCTTCCTCGTAATCTTTTGCCTTTTCCATCAGTCAGGTTTTATTCTGATTGGTACTAAAATGGAGTTTTATCTTAGCAATTATTTTGTTTAACCAATACATGTTTAATTTTAGGAATTATTCATAATAGATAGTTTATAGGTTAAAAAACCCCAAAACAAAATAAACTTCAGTTTCCTATGCAGTACCGTAAAGTACCTCTAGGGGGTCCTATCACCCTTATTTAAGAGAGGCTCAAAGTATTTACGGTAGGTTTAGAGTACTGCACTCACATTTCACATTTAGAGAAATATGAAACAGGTGAATAATGTTTCAGCTTGAAGTCTTCACACTGTATCTGTGTGCATGTATGATCTGTTCACAGGGAGGTGGACTGGTTTTCCCTCATCAGTGTAATCGGCCTCCTTTGCTTTGCCCCTTTCATTGTCTTCTACTTTGTGATGGCCTGTGATCAGTATGAGTGCTCCATCACCCAGCCTGTGTTGGATCTGTACCAAGGAGAGGCCACCCTGCTCTCCATTTGGGCCCGGGCACCCTCCTTCTCGTGGTCAGCTGCTAAGATCTATGCCATCTGGGTGAGCTTCCAGGTAAGCAGGGGAGTTTGAGGGCAGTGTAACTCAAAGAAACTGTCTGTTGTCTTTTAATTCAAATGCTCTGTGTTTTCCTTTAGGTGTTCCTGTACATGTGTTTTCCTGATATTACCCACAAGTTCATCCCTGGCTATGTTGGTGGTGTGCAGGAAGGAGCACGAACCCCAGCTGGTGATTAACAGATTAACACACACATACACCCACTCATCAGTCCACAGCACTTGTTTAATTATGAGGACCTGTTTTATACCCATGCCTGTGAAAAGATTAATAGATTTTGGCTTTTATTATCAAAGCAGTATGTAGAAATAGTTGTCTTTTTTTTTCTCTGTTCACAAGGCCTGATTAACAAGTATGAGATCAATGGACTGCAGTGCTGGCTCATCACTCATGCACTGTGGTTTGCCAACGCACATTATTTCCACTGGTTTTCTCCCACGATCATATTCGACAACTGGATCCCCCTGCTGTGGTGCACTAACATACTGGGCTATGCTGTGTCCACCTTTGCTTTCATAAAAGCGCATCTTTTCCCCACCAACGCTGAGGACTGGTGAGTACTGATGCACACGTGTCACTGAGGTAGGAGGAGCAGAAGTTTAAAGCAACTTTTTGAACATGTTTTCTTCCATCTCTGTTTCTGACTATACAGCAAGTTCACAGGGAACATCTTCTATAACTACATGATGGGTATTGAGTTCAACCCCCGCATAGGCAAGTGGTTTGACTTCAAGTTATTCTTCAACGGCCGGCCCGGCATCGTAGCCTGGACTCTAATCAATCTGTCCTACATGGCCAAGCAACAAGAACTCTACGGTTACATCACCAACTCTATGATCCTGGTGAATGTACTGCAGGTAAGACGAGGTTTAAATTAAATGAATCTTCTTTCGCAATTTCAGGTGAAAGTTGAATGATTTAAGAGGATATTTTTATACTTGCACTGCTAGAGTGGCTTTGCAAGGTTTACTGTTCAAAATCATTCTTATTTAGTCTTGTTGCAGCCCTGAAATGAGTGTTTTTTAGCTCCAGATTTGCTGCCCCTATTCAAAGAAGCTTTAACTAGTTGTATGTATGAGAAGGCCATATTGTAGGTATTTGCACTCACTGACATCATAAAGAACCAAGGGGAAAAAAACGTTTTCATCGAGCTTTGGATAAAACCTCCTCAAGATGCTCATAAATTCCTGTAAGCAGGAAAAGCCCTGATGTGTCCTACTTTCACAGTGCTCCTTGGTCAGCAGTCTTCTGTTGGCAGCTCTAAAGCCCAGTCATATTATAACAGGTGAACTATGGCTGCGGACTGATTAACCTGAGCAAGCCTCTGATGAGTAGATTAGATAGTGTCACCTGTTTCAGTGGTAGAATGCAACTCAGCAGATCTTTGGTACAGACTGTGTTCAACGACAGAAGGTCAGGTTTAACTTACCTTCGATTGCTGACATAGAAATAAACTAGATCTGTAAATATTAATTCTTCCTTTTACATTTCTATTTTTTCAGAATTTAATTAAATGTTTCTACTATCTCAAATTTTTTGTCAGTATCCGGGTTTATATCCTAGTACAACACGTTTATCTAACCCACCTTATGTTGTGAAACTTAAAATACAACAGAGCATTGCATCCTTCATGTTCACGTCAAGGTTGTGTGTAGATGTGCATGATATATTTCCAACATGTTTCATTAAAGCGGACCCATAATGCTGAAAGACATTTTTATTCTTGAGCTCTCTTTACTTTACCTCTCAGTTCATCCTCAGCCTGATTTTGATTTAGTTCCTCTCTCTTAAAGGTCACTCTCCCTTATAAACAGAGTTTGAACAAGAGGTGGGCGGTGCTTCTGTGCTCACACTTAGTGCTGTGTGTCTGAGATGACCGTATTAGGAATAGTACGAAGCCTGCCTGAAACTGAGCATATATGACTTTGAAGCCGAAGCTTTTGGCTCACTGAGGCTATTTTAGTTTTGGGCGACTTTAAAGAAAACCTTTGTTGGATGAAAATCGAAGCAACTGAAGTCTAAAGCTGCAATTTGAGTAAAAAGCCTCTGCTTCTGATAGGCTATTTATGTACTGGACTTCTTCTGGAATGAGGCGTGGTACCTGAAGACCATCGATATCTGTCATGACCACTTTGGATGGTATCTGGGCTGGGGAGACTGTGTTTGGCTGCCATACCTCTACACACTGCAGGTAACAAATATATAGATGGTAACACTCAAAAACACACAAGATCAAACTTCATCAGTGTTACTTTTCTCATACTCTTACCTTGATAATCAGATGGCTTCCATTAAGAATGAATGCGTTTGTTTCTCTTCAGGGTCTGTACCTGGTGTACCACCCAGTCCAGCTCTCCGATGCCCACGCCCTCGCCGTCTTGCTGCTCGGCCTCGTTGGGTATTACATCTTTCGCTCCACCAACCACCAGAAGGATCTGTTCCGCCGCACAGAGGGCTCCTGCTCCATCTGGGGCCGCAAACCAACATGGATTGAGTGCACATATCGCTCCGCCGATGGCGGCATGCACCGCAGCAAGCTCCTGACCTCAGGCTTCTGGGGCGTGGCCCGGCACTTCAACTACACCGGTGACCTGATGGGCTCTCTGGCCTATTGTGCCTCGTGTGGTTTCGGCCACATACTTCCATATTTCTACATTGTTTACATGACTATCTTGCTGGTCCACCGCTGTGTTCGCGATGAACACCGCTGCAGCAGCAAGTATGGCAAAGACTGGAAACGGTACACCGATGCCGTGCCTTCCCGGCTCATTCCTGGAGTGTTTTAGAGCGTGGAAGGGTTGGGGGAATAATGGGAGGAAGGAAGGGTGAGCGGGGAAAAGATAAATAAATACAGAAATTTTGAAATGCTATTAGGTTAGCATGATAAACATGAATTTTTACACATCGGGAGTACATCATTGAACACTCTGCACATGTGCTGTATTTTTATACATGGTGCCTGTATTACATGTGTGTATGCAGGCAGAGTAGATGTATTGCTGTAACTTTTGCCTCACTAAAGACAGTTTGATGCAAATCTATTTTCTTTAAGCTCTGACGATTTCAAACACCTTTTTTTACCAGAAGGACCAAACACAGCCTGACCAGCTCACACCAAAATCAGGAGCATATACAGCTAGTTCTGTAATTCCTTTTTTTCTCCAACTACACAATGCTGTGGTTTGTGTATGGGTGATTGATATGACAGTCATTTATCAAAAGTAAGTTTTGATTACAATTTATCTCCTGGGAATTTCTTTCATAAGTTTTTAAGATGACGTATAGCTCTGAATGACTTAATAGCTGGCTCTATTCACAGGTTCACTGAAAACAAGCCTTTTTTATATGAAGGTTGTTTTATGGTGTCACATTGTTCATTAGCATTTGCAAGATTCTCATTTCTAACCAGCAGGAGAATTTGGTTACACGAGCCAGGTTGTGTAATGGTTTATCTTGTTGGTGAATGTTTTTGGGGGGTTTATTTTTTTTCAGCATGCTCACATATACTGGCCTTGACTCATTTTAAGATTCATTAAGGATCATGGAAATGACACAACTGAACAACAATAAACTGCACTTTCTGTTTTTTTTAAGTCTATAAAGAATTAAACTTAAAGAATTAAAATGTTAAAAATATCAGTCTATTAATGTCCATCCTCTTCCAATTAACACATAAAGACAGAAAACCGTTTGCGCTCACATTTCCACCTATGAGCAACTTAGAATCATATATCTGACCTAACCCCACTAATTGCATTTCTGTAGACTGTGGGAGGAAGCTGGAGTATCCACGCATCACGAAGAGAACATAGAAACTCCACCTAGAAACACCCCAGCCAGATGGTGGAGTCTAACTCAGTCAACAGTGCCACTGCGCCACCGTGCAGCCCATCAATCAATGAATAAATTTTATTAATTTGGTTTATAAATTAATTATTCAGAAACTTGCATCATAATCAAATATCAAGACAATTCTACATATATCAGTTGTGAAGGAACTAAAAAGTGGACAATCAAAGTTGATCCCATTTGTTGTACGTTGTGGTGTCTAACACTAGAGGGCAGCAGGTGACAGCTAATCTCTGTGGCCGGTCAGCTGAGGAGAAATTAACACAGGGTAGCACTAGATTTATAAACTTGAATTTCTTTTTATTAACTCAAGCTTCTTGGACCTGACTTTGGACCAAATTAAACAATGCTCAAAACAGAATTTGTTGAACCTATCCTAGATATGGGCGTTCTTCGTCTTTCAATAAATTAAAATTGTGCTTTAGCACCACTATTATGTTACAAGAGATGTGCATAAGTAAAAAAAAAAAAACAACATTATGGAGACAAAAGAAGAATTAAAGGACCTCCATTTGACAATAGTTGTCAAAAGGATTCAAGAAATATGCTGAACAACATCCCAAACTGAAAATCTACATTGGTCTCAACTGCCGTTGCTTTGTCTTTTGAGCAGCAAAAGGAGTTGTTACTCTTACAAATGGAAAGAGACAAGCTGAGCATTGAGAAAGAACGTGTAAGGCATTCTTTAGAAAAGGAAAAGTTGGAGCTAGAGCAGTATCGGCTAGACCTAATCAAGGCGGGCAAGTTATCAGGTGGTGTTGAGGCTTCTCCACAAGGAGTTGAAACTTTTGATGTTGTGCGTAATTTGTGCTTGGTGCCGAAGTTTGATGAAAGAGAGCCAGATGCCTTTTTCTCCCTTTTTGAACGCATTGCCGAATTGAGAGGATGGCCAGAAGCTGACTGTGTGATTATGTTACAGTCTGTTTTGACTGGAAAGGCTCAGGAAGCTTATTCGGCACTCAGTGCAGTTGATTGTCAGAGTTTGGCTACTGTTAAAGATGCAGTTCTGAAGGCGTATGAGTTGGTACCAGAAGCTTACCGTCAACGTTTCAGATCATGGAGGAAGTCTGATAAGCAGTCGCATATAGAGTTTGCGAGGGATTTAACTAAACACTTCAACAGATGGTGTTCGGCACTGGGAGTGATAACTTTTCAGGATTTATGTGAGTTGATGGTATTGGAGCAGTTTAAAGAGTGTGTTCCTCCTGTGGTTGCCACTTATATTGCCGAACGGGAAGTGACAACCGTTTCTGATGCTGCTAAATTGGCAGATGAATATATCTTGGCACATAAGGGGCAGGTTGGTAGAAACTGTTTTCCAGTTGGTGCTCCCGCTAGAGCTTTTTGTCAAACTAAGTTTATGTCATCGGACCCTGCGAAGGCCATTGGTGGTGTGAAGCCCAGTAAGTTTGGTCAAGCATGCAACTACTGCCATGGCGATGGACACTGGAAAGCAGAATGTCCTTTGTTGAAAAGCAAGTTGGCACGTACAGGCAAACAGGTTAAGCCTGCGGCTCTTACCATTCTTGCACGGGAAATTTCAGTAGTCTCTCGGGAGATGCCAGTTTCGACTAAGTCTGACTCGGAGAGCTATTCGGGGTTTGAGGATTTTGTGTCAGATGGGTTTGTATCACTCCCGGGTGATGATCATAAAGTTCCTGTAAAGATTTTGCGTGACACAGGCGCAAAGGAGACCAATGTGTGTTGGATCAAAAAACTGAATTGTGAGTTGATTCATCCCAAGATGGAAAACCTAGAGCGTGCCTTATCTTATTGCTAAAAAATTCAGTTAACCGATTTCACTAAATATGCTTCCTTCAGCAGAGCTCAGAGCTGCGACTGAATGGGATTTGCCATAAGTTTGTTCTGACTGTTTCCAGAAACCTGAGCTCAGTCCGTAAAGCGCTCGTGAAAATGTTGCATCTTTGGCAGGAAGCCACAAAGAGGGCATCTTCTACATTAACACTGGATTTCCTCAGCGTGGCTGTTGGGGTATTTGAGGATGCATTCTCCTCTAATGAAGGTGTTAGATGGAAACTCTACCTTCAAGCCACAGTCTAAACACCTTTTTTGGGCCCCTCATAATAGGTGAGGACAAGCCATTTGTTGTTGATAGCTTGTTCTCAAGTATCTAGTAATCCATCAGAACTGGCGGCCTATTGTGCCACGTAAGCACAATAGGCCGCTTTACCATCAGTAGATCCCCTTTGAGTGTAATAATACATATTATGAATGTAAATCAGTTATGATAATGGAAGACCCATTGATTCATCTTGCCTTTGTGCAAAGCTAATGCATTATGGGTCTGATTCATTACATTGCATCACACAGAACCAAATGACCTTCGACTGCTTTTTTATCGTAACTGGTTCTCAAATTACCCCTGAAGGCAAAGAAGTATCGCTGGAGCTTGAAAGGGGCTTCACTGTGCAATGACCGGATTCACCCATAACCAAGTTGACAAATAGCTCTGTGTGAATGAGATGGAAATCTGAAGAAAGACCCCATCTTTTTTTGTGACGACACTAAAAGCCAGACTATTGAATTTGCCAGTGGAGTTCATGCACCCATCCAATGAATGTCCAGTGTTCACAGTAAACACATTGTTGAAGCCCCGGTTTGCAGCACATTCATCTGTAGTGAGGGGCAGGTGGGGGTTATGGGGCAAAAAAAAAAAAATCAGGATATGGAGTGAGTGGCAGAGAGAATAAGAAGGAAAGACAAAACAGAAGAATGAATCATGCGTAATGCACAATGGGATACTTGGAGCTGGTGCCACTCCTCAGCTAAAGTTGGCGTGATTTCCCAAGAGACCAAATTAGTTTTTATTATAAGTTTGAGGGCTAAGAGAATTGTGGGTAAGAGTCGTAAGTGAGCAATGAAAGGGGCACCGGAGAGGTGGGAAAGTACATGATTTGTCAGCAAACTGTAGGCAATGATAATTCACATATACCATAAAGTACAGCAGACCACTAAAGAGCATTCCAGACTGCAGCAGGGCCTAATAATCACATTGCGGTGCGTGAGGCTAGATAGACCGGCTGCCCGTGGTCGGTGGCAGAGGAGCAATTCTGGCCGTCATAATGTTGATTTCTTGTACTTCGGGTTTGATGGTTACATTTATTGCAAGACTCTTTTTCTTCTTCAACAGCTTAGCCAAAAAAAAAGCCACTCAAATCTTCCCTTTTTTTTTAGCATCACAGGCAGCAGCTTTGTCAGGTTATTCACCACTTTGGTCAAAACTGTAGTGAATCTTTTGTAGCTCATCATTGTTCTGAAATGCAGTTTCTGACTTTTGTGATCCTTTGACATTTCCTAAAGTACCTTCACCACATCGTTGCTCCAAAAGGAAAGCCACACAACTGCTTACATAGCTTTGTAGTTTTGTTCATTTTCAGCAACTCAACATCTCTGAACCCTTCAACTCTCTGACACCTTTTTTTCCACATTCTTCCAGTAATCTTCCTTCCTTACACCCTTTTCCCCCTCTGACCTCTGACCTCAAGTCCAGTCTCTCTTAGCTAATGATAACTGATGAGACAACCAGACTGACTATCAGACTAAACAAAAAAGTCTCAAAAGTTGTGCGATGGTAAATGTCAGGGAATAGTTAATGCTGACAGTGTTTAACAGAGTAAGAAAAGATGTGGTGACTGCTGAAAAATCTTTTCACGTCAGAGCTTTAGTCAGATATCTTCATTCTTAGATGAACTTTATGGCTCTGCTCCAAATGCATCTGCGTCTTTTGCCTGTAGCCAGACAACACGTCCCACCTAAACTCTTAAGGCTTTCTCTGCTGTGGTCTTCCAGACAAAGTGAAATGGGTCTTAAATTGAGAAAAAGGAGTTTGCCAAAGTAAGCTGACAAAATCCTATGCCTACATTTTAGATTTGTCTCCTTGTAAGTTACTGAGGGTGTTGAATTAAAAAAGGATTAGGTGCAGAGAAAGAATTAGATGGATTAAAAGGAATTCTCAAGCTGCACCACAAATCCATAGCTGATGTGGTTTAAAAAAAAGAAGAAAGAAAGAAAAAAGATTGGTTGTAGATGCTACAGCTCATATTAACAAGGCTTGTGAGGGATGGAGCTAACACTCGTCACACACGAGTGGCAACACCAGCAGACTGGGCAACAAATTGCTCATATTTTACATGTTTCAAGTGTTTGGAGTGTTTGGAGTCAAGAGTC